CTCCTCCTCCTCCTCCTCCTCCTCCTCCTCCCCCCTTCCTCCTCCGCTTCCAACCTCTTCTTCCTCCTTATATTCCTCCTCCTCTCTGTCTCTATTTCTCTCTTTCTCTTTCTCTCTCTCTCTCTCTCTCCCTCTCTCTCTCTCCTTCTCTCTCTCTCTCACTCCCTCTCTCTCTCATGTGCGGTGCCCGCGTCCCTCTCTCCCGCTCCGTGCCCGCTTCGGTTCAGGGCATTCGAAGCGGCGAAGAATAGAACAAGGAAGAAACGAATAACAAAAAACGGCACGAGCATGAGCTGTCGGAGCTCCGCGCGGAATACTCGGATCGGCGCTGGGGCCCCCCCCCCTGGCGGCCCCGCCCCTGGCGTTTGCGTTTGCCCACCGGTCGCTCGAGGTAGATATGTCCCCAGACCTCCTCGCGCTGTGAAAAAATCGCGACGCGAGGATTTTCGCTATTTTCGGCTTCCGGGGGCCCTTCCAGGGCCTCGGGACTGTCAACAAAACGACTCAGGATGAAAAGCGGTCCCGGGGAAAGGGTCCGGACCCTTGGGGGTCGACGTTGTCAAAAAATCACGACGTCGGGGGTCTGGGTATGTCCGGATCCCAAGAATCCAATCGATTTGTTCTAGGCGCCTCTCTATTTCAGGTGTCGAGCGGGTTCCCTTCTTGCCTGCAGAAGGTGGGCGGAGATCCAATACTCTCAACGCCATCTTGCTTCGCGGGTGTGCCAGTTCTTCTTTCTCTACACCTCGGGGGCGCAGGCGTCTGGCGCAGGCGGGCCGGGCAGGCCGCGCACAGGATGAGGCCGCTGCTGCTCGCGAGCGGCCTCCTCGGCGCTGTGGCCGCGCCGCCTCCGCGGGTGATCGTCGTTGTCGTCGCGGACGACTACGGCTGGTGGAACGTCGACATTCTCGGCGGCGAGCCCAGGGGGGAAGTGAGAGGGGGCGGGCCTTTTCAGAAAGGGCCAGGGCTTATCAGAAGTGGTCTGGCCTTCTCAGGAGCCGTCTCTGTCTTCGGAGGATGCTCAGAAGCCTTCTCAGAAGGCTGGAGACCTTCCGAGCCTTCTGAGAAGGCCCGCCCCCTCTGACTTCCCCCTTGGGCTCGCCGCCGACATTCAGAGAGGGGGAAAACTGCATAAGATGCAAGTTGTCGGAGCTCCACGCGGATTTCTCAGGTCGGCGCCGGAGGCGCCCTGGCGGCGCCTCCGGCGCTGTTCCTGGCGCGCGGAGCGCGCCAGAACGGGAGGGGGCCCCAGCGCCGCTCCAGGGAATCCGCGGTGATCTCCGTGGTCGTCGCGGGCGACTACGTGCGGCTAGTGAAGCGTCGACATTGGGAGGACATCATCGAGTGGGTGAGGCTGGCAGCTGCATCGGCGCTGGTATATTCGTGAGCCCGACAGAAGCCCCTTAGAGTAGTTCACTGAATCCCGCCTCGTCGGGGTTGATATTGGGTCGAATCTGGTTAAATTTGGCGTGGTGACATCCTTTTCGTACGTCCTCATTTCGGACGGGGCTCGGACGAGGATAAATCCGTTCCAAAACGTTCTGAAACGCTCTCAGAGCGTTGTGGAACGCTCTGGGAAGGCCGCGGCGCCTGAGACATCGTCCAGAGCCGCCAGATCTCAGAGATTCTGGGTTCATCCTCACCCGATTTTATCCGTAAGGGCTTCGCCACCTGTCGCCGGCCCCATCTCTATCATAATGGGATATGAATCGCGTCGGCGCGTCTCGGCGCTGCCTTGGCGCATCTGGGAACGTCATGCGGGGGCGGATAGGAATCATCAGCGCATTTCGAGACGTTGGCGTTGTCGAAGACGCCTACGGCGAATCACCGCCGCCCCCTGCCCTTGTGAAAGCGCCTATGTGGCCGACAGCTGGGCTAGAGCTTGGCCAGGCTATCGGGCCAGTTGTTCCCCGAGTCGGTTTGGAAAGCCTTCGGGGAACGCGTGGAGGAGTTGAAATCGCCCACATGTCCGAGCGTTGTGGCAAGAGCTCTGGCAAGCTATCGGACGATGTGTTCCCTCAACCGTTGTGGAAACCGTTCGGGGAACACTTGGGGATGGATGCTGGGGAAGATGAGCAGAGGAGGAGGAGGAGAGAAGGAGGAGTAGTAGTAGGAGGAGGAGGAGCAGAAGGAGGAGGCGAGGAGGAGTAGAAGGAGGAGGAGGAGGAGGAGGAGGAGGAGGAGGAGGAGGAGGAGGAGGAGGAGGAGGGGCATCTTGGGAGCCTCTGGGGGCACTCTTGGGGCCTCCTGGGAGCCTCCTCGGAGTCTCTTGGAGGCATCTTGGGAGCCTCCGTGGGCCTCTTGGGTGCCTTTGGAGGCTTCTCAGGGGCCTCTTTGGCCGTCTCGGGGCATTCCCGACCCGTCGCCGTCGGAAGCCGTCTTGGGGGCCTCTCTGGGCCGACTTGAAACCCACTTGGGGTGCTCCAGGGCTGTCTTGGAGGCCATCTTGGGCGTCTTGGAGGCCCAAGACCTTCTGGGGCGGTCTTGGGGGCCTCTTGGGCCGTTCTGGAGCCGTCCTGGAGGCCTCATGGGTGATCTTTCGGGGCTCTTGGGCCGTCTCGGGCCGTCGGAAGGCCAAAAATAAGCAAATGCTGAAATCCTTCGAACACTTCAGGAACATCAATGATTTGGGCCCTTCCTGGAGGCCCTCTTGGATGCCTCTCGGGCCATCTTGGAGGCCTCTTGGGGGCCTCTTGGGCCGTCTGGGAGGCCTCTTGAGGGCCTCTCGGGCCGTCTTGAGCCATCTTCGAGCCATCTTGGGCCGTCTTGGTGGGATCCTGGCCCGTCTGACGCCGTCGGAAGCTGTTTAGGGGGCCTCTCTGGGCCGACTGGGGGCCCTCTTGGGGTGCTCCAGGGCCGTCTTGGAGGCCATCTTGGGCGTCTTGGAGGGCCTCTTGGGCGCGTCCTGGGCGCCTCTCGGGGCCTCCCGGGGGCTTCTCGGGGCGCTTCTTGGGCCATCCTGGAGCCGTCTTGGGCCGCCTTGGGGCCCTTTTGGAGGCGTCTTGGGTTGTCTTTGGGCGGTCTTGGGAGCTTCTCGGGCCGTCTTGGAGCGCCGGAGAGCCGAGCATGCGAGAGACAATCTCCTCCCAAACTTGCGTAACATGGACGATGTTGGCCTCTTGGGGCTCTCTCGGGAGGCCTCTTGGAGCGTTGTTGGGGCCTCTTGAGGCCCTCTCGGGCCGTCTTGGAACCATCTTCGGGCGCCTTGGAGCATTCTTGGGCGTAGCAATGCGAATCTTGTGTAATTGGCAAGGATTTATGCATTCGGGACGCGAACATTGCGTACTTTACGATGGGTTGTTGCCTCGGGGGCGCAAGAATTGTATGATTTGCAAGGGTTTCTGGCTTCGTAGACGCGAATATTGCGTAACTTAACCTGTGTTATGGCTTCGGGGACGCGACTCTTGCGTAATGTACGAGGGTTTGTTGCCTCGGTGACGCAAGCATCGAGTAATTTACGAGGATTTGTGGCGTCGCGAACGCGAACATTGAGTAATGTACCAGGGGGTATGGCCTCGGGGGGGCACGAATCTTAAGTATTTGCACGTGTCCCACGCCCCCCGGCGGAAATTCAGAGCACGCGATTCGGGGGTGGTCACCGGCCGGTTTGGGGTTCCCCTCCCTCGCGCGGACTCCAACAAGCCATTGATATTTATGTTAGGAAGCAGGAAGCAGGATGTTTAACATTGGAGACTTGAAGCTGCAACTGGCGCAAGGAGCAGCAGCTTCGTCCTGGCCTCGTCTTCTCCTGCGGGCTGATTGTGGGTCACCAGGGCTGAACCTACACGGTGCTTTTCGTGTTCGTTTTGTTTTCGTTGTCCCTTGTTTTGTCTCCAATCCGCCTTTAACGCAAAACGGCATCGAAACGAAAACGGCCCACGAAACCGCCAAAACACCACTTAGGTCCACCCCTGCTACAGGCTGGCGGCCCCACAGGGGGGGCAGGCGGATCCTCGTCCTGGCCTCGTCTTCTCCTGCGGGCTGACTGTGGGTCACCCCCGAGGACGGGGAGAAGGGGAGATCCTCCTCCTCCCCCCCTCCTCCTCCTCCTCCTCCTCCTCCTCCTCCTCCTCCTCCTCCTCCTCCACCTCTTCCTCCTCCTCCTCCTCCTCGTCCTCCTCCTCCTCCTCCTCCTCCTCCTCCCCCTCCCCTCCTCCTCCTCCTCCTCCTCCTCCTCCTCCTCCTCCTCCTCCTCCTCCTCTCCTCCTCCTCCTCCTCCTCCTCTCCCCTCCTCCTCCTCCTCCTCCTCCTCCTCCTCTCCTCCTCCTCCTCCCTCCTCCTCCTCTCCTCCTCTCCTCCTCCTCCTCCTCCTCCTCCTCCTCCTCCTCCTCCTCCTCCTCCTCCTCCTCCTCCTCCTCCTCCTCCTCCTCCTCCTCCTCCTCCCCCTCCTCCTCCTCTCCTCCTCCCCCTCCTCCTCCTCCCCCTCCTCCTCCTCCCCCTCCTCCTCCTCGTCCTGGCTTCGTCTTCTTTTGCGGGCTGACTGTGGGTCCCCCCCCCCGAGGCGCCACGGGAAAGTCCCGATGCGCACCGCGGGGCGGAGGAGGAGCGAGGATCAAAGGGGAGGAGGAGCAAAGAGGAGGAGCACAGAGGAGAAGGAGGAGGAGGAGGAAGAGGAGGAGGAGGAGGAGGAGGAGGAGGAGCGAGGAGGAGGAGGAGGAAGAGGAGGAGGTGGAGGAGGAGGAGCGAGGAGAAGCGAGGATCGAGGAGTCAAAGGAGGAGGAGGACAAGGAGGAGGAGGAGGAGGTGGAGGAGAAGGAGCGAAGGGGACTTAGAACATTGATGACACTTGTATACGGATACGGTCGGACCGAGGTATAAGATCGAGATCGGCTCGCAGAGGGAGCCCTCGTTTCTTCTTGTGTGTTGGATGTTCTTGTGCATCCTGGGGTTGGGCACCCTCGAGTGTTCTTCGGTCTGACCAGCGGAGGGTTTCACGCTCTTGAAGGAGGTTCTTGTGTCCTGGGCCTGGCCGTAAGACAGACTGCCGAGGGTCCGCGCGGATGTCTCGGGCCAGCGCTGGACCCCCCCCCCGGGCGCGTGGAGCGCGCGAGAGGCGGCGCCAGAAGCGCCGCCATGTGCCGCCGCCAGGCGCCGCCTGGGGGGGGGGGTCAGCGCTGGCACGAGAGCTCCAAGAGTCTGCGCTTGTGCAGATGATTCTCCCTCTGGACATGGACGCCCACAACGCGGCGGCGAGGACGCCGAACCTGCACAGGCTATCGAAGTCTGGGGCGAGACTGGACAGGCACTACGTGTTCAAGTACTGCTCGCCGACGCGGTCCTCGTTGCTGACCGGCCGCCTGCCCATTCACGTGAATCAGAACAACAACGCGAATTCTTGACGTTTTGCGTATCCCCACCAGCCTGTTGGGAACGCTCGCGCCATTTTGGCTGCGTTCGGCCTCCACGGTGCCTGGTGTCAGACTCCCTGGGTGCGCCGTTGCATGTTTCTCTCAGGGGCTGCCCTGCAGACTCCCTGGATTGCACGCTTGGCTCAGACGCCCTGGGTCTTCGCTGTCGCCGTTTGGGCTTATCCTGCTGGACTTGCCACCAGTCAGTCTGTGCCTACCCGTCAGACTTTGGATTGACGTCCCGCTCGAATCCGATTCCCACTTGGTCGTTTCGATCTGTTGGGAACGCTCGCGCCATTTTGGCTGCGTTCGGCCTCCACGGTGCCTGGTGTCAGACTTCCTGGATGCGCCGTTGCATGTCTCTTTCAGGGGCTGCCCTGCAGACTCCCTGGATTGTACGCTTGGCAGACGCCCTGGGTCGCTGCCGCCTGCCGCCTGACCGCGGCCCCGCGCGCGCCCGCCCCGCTTGTCGCGGCCACAGCCCGACCGTGACCGCCTGCCGCTGGCGCTTCCGCCTGCGGCCGTAAAAATAAAAAATCACCACCAGCCCATCCAAAAAACAGTCACCAGGCGAGCGGCCCTGATCAGGAATGTGTAGCAGCATGCAGCCACGCTCTGAGAGCCTCTTGGAGGCATCCTGGGGCCATCTTGGAGCCCTCTTGGGGCAATTTTGGAAGCCTGTGGGGGTCTCTTGGAGCCCTCTGGGGGCCCTCTTGCAAGAGGAGGTTGGAAGAACTAACTCCTTAAACTACCTACGCCCAGAGGGCTCGAGGGATTCGCTCATGTCTACCTCCGGCGCAGACATTCGCATGACCACGCTGCCGCAGAAGTTGAAGCAGGCCGATCCGCCATTCCAGACGCACCTGTTCGGAAAGTGGCATTCTGGTGCGCGATCGGTTGCGAACCTTCCGATCAATCGCGGTTACGATTCGCACTTGGGATTCTTAAAGGGTATGGAGGATCATTACACCCAGAAGTCGGATTTCGACGGCTACTCGCCCAAGTATGTGGATCTGTGGCGCGACCACGGCCCCGCCGATAGCAGCCTCAATGGCACCTTCTCCGTATTCCGGGACACGCAACACGCAATTGCTGCACTAGACAGGTAGGACCCACAGTCGTCTGGCCAATCCCTGTACCTGGACGTGCGCTTCGGTGTGACGCATGAGCCGTATCAGGTGCCCAGCCAGTACCGCGACCCCAGCATCAAGAACAGGTGCGCGCAGACATATGCTGCAACGGCCAGCATCATGGACGAGGGCATCGGAAACCTCACTTCGGCCATCCAGCAGCGAGGCTTTTGGGACGACACGGTGCTGATCTTCTCAGCGGACAACGGCGCCCCCACCAGCGGCGCCAGCTGTGGCAACAACTACCCCCCGCGCGGCGGCAAGACGAGCGATTTCGAGGGCGGCGTCCGCGCCAATGCATTCGTGGGCGGCGGCTACGTGCCCCCTGCCGTTCGGGGCAAGGTGCACACAGGCTTGATGCACATCGCCGACTGGTACGCGACGCTCTCGGCGCTTGTGGGGGTGGACCCTGTCGACGACTCCCAGCGGATCCAGAATGGGTCTCCTGGGAGTGGCGTCCCAGGGATCGACGGTGTAGATCAGTGGCCCTTCATCACGTCGCCGAACGCCAGCGCGTCTGCGAGAGACGAGATCGCATTGGCATTTTGCACGAACGTTGGTGGCGCCCCTGACGATTGCGTATCGTCGACCAAAGGTGTTATGGATACCTCAAGGTATGACCAGGGAGCCCTCATTGCGGACGGCGGGCGCTGGAAAGTGGTTTTCGGGCAGCAGCACGGTCTGGGGTTCTTCACTGGACCGCTGCATCCAAACGGCACCAAGAATTACAGGGACGCCGGCTGTCCTTCGGGTTGCCTCTTCAATCTTTTCGATGATCCAACAGAGCACACCGATGTCAAGGAGAAGTATCCGCACGTCTTCTCCAGGCTCAGGTCGCGCCTGGAGGAAATCGGGAAGACGGTGTTCCAGACGAGCTACACCGATGTGCCGCAGAGCAGACAGTGTCTCTCTGAGAGCGATGCCGCTGCCAAGTACAACGGGCACTTGGGCCCACAGTGTGTCGCTGACGGATCCGGTTCTGCGCCTGTCCGACTCGTATGA